GTATTTACGCCATCAGAGAATTGATGAGCCGACGTATGCCACAAACCATTATCTATTAGAATTGACAGAATCAGAAACCTACCTTAAGCTTGGTGCATGCATAATAAATTTTTTAAAAAAAAGGTTTTTTCTCAAAAATTCTTAAATTTACATTTATCCACAATTTTTGCTTATAATTTTCAAATATGAACAGATGTTTCAATTAAAACATTTGTTCAATAATACAGATGTTTAACATTGATCATCTTTAGTATATTAAAACAAAATTAAAACAACACACATTTATGACAATATCATAATATCTAATTTAAACTTTTAAACTGGGGAAAAAATAATAATAATCCTTTTTTTTCTCAATAAATGAATTATCTATTTCAATTGTAGTAAATTAAGTATTTGCATGTAATGTATAGGAAATTGTGCGCAATCAATAAACTTTTATCGTACTGCATTTATGTGGGTTAGATAAATTACAAAATGAATGAATAACATGGTTTAATTGGTTAATAATTGGAAGAATAATTTACTATATATGTTTTCAGCTTATTGAATGGACAGGGAAACAGTATGAAGGCTTATTCGACACTACGGCGTGCCTAAGAAGATAATCGACATCATACGGAATTCTTATGATGGATTAAAATGCAAAATCGTGCACAGAGGTCTCAACAGGTCTAAATATACATACATAAAAATAAAAACAAGATTCTGCGCGGTACAACACAACATACACCAACCAAATCATACTTGATAGTAATGCCTTGGAGGACGTTCAGTCCTTTAAATATCTAGGCAGCATTATCAACAATCAATGTGAATCCGATGCAGATGTGAGGACGCGAAAACGACAAAGCAAGGGCTGCATTTCTACAGTTGAAAAACAAATGGAACCGGAAACAACTAACTGTCAGCAAACACCAAAGTCACAAATTTCAATACAAATATCCAGACAGTTCTACTGTATGGAGTGGAAAATTGGAGAACTACCAAAGGCATCATCCAGAAGATACAAGTGTTTATTATCAGTCGTCTACGCAAAATAATTCGGAATCGTTGGACTGATACGATCAGCAACAGCTAGAACGAAACATGCGCCAAGGCTTTCACGTCTACGCTCATACATATTAATATATTGTGTATAAAAATTAAAAATAGCATTTATTGGTTTATTCAACAAAAACAAACACATGATTTAAAACTTATTCTCCGGAAATTTCGATTTTAAAACAATTATATAACATGATTCATGTAATTATGATAACTGTAATTACCTTTATTCAGTTTTAACAAATGAAAAATTTCACTTTACTATAATTAATTTGTGATAAGTGACACTGAATCGATTCAAACTGACAGATAACACATAAAATGTGATAAACGAATCCACTATTTATAAGCAAATAGTTGAAAAGATAGTCGACAGGATACTCTGTATATTGGGTTTCATGTTATCTGGGACTTGTTAGCAAGCGTTTTCTAAATTCGTATGCTATGATTTAAGACCATGTAAGTCGCTTTACTCAGGACTCTTCATTTAGATTAATAATTTGGATATGCCACTGTTGCATGTGAAGCTCACTGTTCCAGAGATTAGGCGTTCACGCACAACACCGAAGGCCCTGGGTTCAAATACTGTGGGTTACAGGAGACGTGGACGCTCACTGCTGATGAATCCCACACCAGGACGAAACGGCCTGGTCTAACATTGACCGATTCATGGTTTAAAAATGTAAACAACTATATCTTTATTCATGTATTTTAAACCATAAAATTCATCATTTTACAATTTTGTATTGTTTTTTAATAAAAAAATTCATTTAGTCAATGAATAGTGAAAGACTGATCTCGAAATTAATTACACACGTACCTATATCAAATAACTAGGATAAACTCTAGGCAAACATCCATTGACTAAAACCGTAACTACCCAATGACCTTTGAGCAACATCAAAATGACCTTGAACATGTTGACCTACTTCCTACGTTTAAATGTTGGTTTACAAAATTACTATGTGTGAGGAATTCGATTTAGAATTTAACACAGGATGTAGGGGTCAGAAATTGCAGTTCGTGGAAGGAGAGCTTCATCACGAACTGATATCGTTGAACTAAAAATATGAATAGGATTTGAGTCAAAACCTATGTCTTTCTCACTTAATCCATAAAATCCTAAATTCATGCATTTATGTCTAATTTTCTCCACATATTAATAAAACACGCACTTGCGTAACAAGTTTAATAATCAATAATACATCCAACTTACATTGTAATAATCTTTCGAAAAAACTGGTGGATTGTCATTTAAATCTTGTATGATTATTTGAATAATATGACTTGATGTAAGACTTGGCTCGCCATTATCAATACATACAATCTATCAGATGTAGTGTGAAGAAAAATCAGAGAAAAACAGACATATATATATATATATATATATATATATATATATATATATATATATGAATGTAAATTAATTGCGAGGCGGAATATATTTTTACTGAAATCATCAGTTGATCAACGTTAGATCAAGATTAGAAATCTGGGAGCATTAGACAGCTGTTTCGTTCTGGTAGTATAAGGCACTTGATTATCAGAGCGTATCTACGACCCCCGCATACCAGCGACCTTCGATGTTGTGCGCGTACGCCTAACTTCTAAAACACTGTACTGGCATGCTTCAGTGTTAATGTCCAACTCTAATCAGTCAAAAATATTATGTAACCTCACCTATTGATTGACTGACGATTTCATCAAAATCCGACAGTCGCCACAACCCTATAATGGGGATAGATTTTCTTGTTTCAACTTCTCAATAAGGATGATTTGATGAATCATTAAACTAGAACGTTCAAAGTCGTTGGAAGGTCGATAAGTAAGTAGATCAATAAGTCTCATTGAAATGATTTGAAATGATCAAGATTTTACCGTAATCCTTATTTTTCAATTGGAGTTAAGATGTCAGTGTTTTCGTAAACACTGAAATTTTCAGTCAAACATTGTTAGACCACCATTAGGGAACCTGGAAGCACTGGACAGCAGTGCGCATTCACGACTACTGCTACTCGCAGAATTGGAACTCAGTACATTCGATCTTCAGCGTCATGCTGATGAGTCCCAAACTAGGACAAAACGACTGTCTAAAGCTTTCAGTTTTTTAAAGATGGTCTAATAATGAATGACAGATGATTTCAATGCATAATCGTTTCAATTATTATTGTGTTTTATCACATTCTTTATAAACTGTAAGTTGTTCTCAAGATTTGTTAAATGTGTGGTATCAAACATCGTCCGTCATTTGCCGGTTTACATAATTGGTATTATATACTGAAGTGTAATTTTGTTATAGGATTTTTATTATAAACAGTAACTTATGTCATAGTGGTTGTTACTTCTGCCGTTAATTCAGGGTTGTACTTCACTAAATATGCCTATTGTAGAGATTACTTCTTGTATATTTTGATAACAATATATTATCCAATCAACGATCTACTTCAGTCGGTTAAATCGCCTCCTAAGAATTTACTCGCCAAAAGTTACTGGTGTTAGTGTGTTCGTTGGTAATGATTAATGAAATCCACAAGACATGAGCAGTCAACTACATTAGAAAGTGAGTGAATATTGACATGGTTTCAAAAATGTGTAACTTAACAATCTTCACAACCCCGTAATGCAAATTACCTGTGCTCACTAGTGACTAGCTTCGTGAGGAATCTTCTCCGAGTTCTAGTTGAGAAGACGTGACCATTGAAGTTCAACCTGTTCGTTTGTAGACAGTGTCTACCAAAGACTGTGTATGAGTTTGTGCAACTCCGTGAATTTGATCAAGTTAGACATTAACACTGTCAGATAGCAGCTCAGTGGTCTGACGGTTAGGGCGTTCGCGCACAGTGCCGAAGGTCCTGGGTTCGAATCCTGCTGGGGTGCAGGAGTCGTGGATGCGCACTGCTGAGGAGTCTCATACCAGGACGAAACGGCCGTCCAGTGCATCTAGGTTTCTAATGGTGGTCTAACATTGATCGATTCGTGTTTTCAAATATGTGTGTAACTTAACAAACTTCACAACCCCGTAATAAAATGTAGGAGCATCTATCTGTATATTGTGTGTGGCAATCAGTATTTTGGGTATGAATATTGGCCGTGTTTACAACCGAATTACAGAAAATATTCCGATTTGAGGTTCAGACATGTGCTCAATCATACTAACTCAATTACATACATAGTTTATCAGATGTATAAATCATGCGAAGTAGGGAATAGAATTATGATAAGCTTTTTTCTGTTCTATCTAATGTAGCTTGTAGGAACAAGCAAGTTGTAGAAATCAATTGAGAAAGGCTTAACACACTAGCACAAACAGTTATGAATTAATTTAGTCTATACATCTTGATTCTGTTCAATTCACAAAATATATTTTTTTAATACAACTTAAAGGAAATCATACTGTTGACTTTCTCTAATCGACTTTCAGCACACCGGTTTATTAGTAATAAGAAATATGTACTGCAGTAAGTGTCAAATGTACAGAAAAAACTCATGTACTTAGAATTTTGTCAACAACCTGATTCATGACACAGAAAATTTATACAATTTTCCAATCATAGTATACTGCGTTGATATTCTAATAAATTCTATCACGTTGACGTAATCTTTAAAGTAGCTAGAGGCTTTGTTGCTCATTCTAGGGGTCACCCTAACAAACATAAACTCTTCGTTTTTAATAGGCAGATAGAAACATTTATATTTGTATTGCAAACATATGCAATAAAAAGCTGAAATACTTAACAACGTTTTTAGTATCTTTTCAAGATTGAGTAGAAAAATGAATACAACACGAATGAACATTGGTCATTTCAATGAACTCAATTTTATTTCATTTCATCAATCGGTTTTAGTATAAACACTGTTATAGATAAAGCCGAATTCACCATATCACATTCAAAATGTAAACCGCCATAAATGACCTTGAAGTGTAGATAAATCATCCATTAAAACAAACTTACTTTTACAGATTCTGTTTTACTATATTCATAATCAAATCCATTGATTGTAATCAATTCAAAATTCATATTAGATATTGGATTTAATTGAAATACTCCGACTATTGAACTTTGATCAATAGAAGTAGTAGTAGTAGTAGTACTAGTACCGGTGGTAAACCGATTGGATTGAATGAACGATGAATACTGATTGGTTTGTTCATTTATAGGATATTGTGTTGGATAGTAATATAATTTATCTAAATTATTCATCATAGGTTTCATTGATGAAGAGGATGTATACATGTTCGATTTGAATAGTTTGTTATTATTATTATTATTGTTATTATCATTATTTGATTGTAAATGACATTGGAATTGACCACCGGGACCTGTGTCAGGATCATTGACAACAATAAAAGCTAATAATTGTGTCATCGTTATTAATGAAGCTTCATTTCTAGAATAAACATTCACATGTTCATTGTTGAATTTAGAATGAATGAAATTTAATCCTGGCGTTTCGTTGACATAAATTTGTAATAAATTCTTCTTATAGTTACGATGATTATCAGTCAGTTTATTAGATGAAATTCCATTCACTGATTCCACTGTAATTTGTGGTGCAATATCATTGATATCAGTGACATAAACACTAACAATTGCTTCATCAAATCCTGAATGTCCTAGTTGATCATGAGCTAATACACGTAAAAGATGATGCTTTGACTGTTCATAATCTAAACTTCCACGTATGATTAACCAACCAGTTTTTGGATGAATCTCGAATAATTCATTCTCAAGGTCACTGCTGTTATTACTAGTATGATCCGCATGACTTTTTGTATTACTGATCGATAATGTTGACGAATTATGAATAGTGTTATGGGACTGACGATAACCGGAATGATTGGTAGTGGACAACTTTGATGACGATGTTGATGTCATGTCAATATTATTATTGTGATTATTACTATTAACTAAACTATAAACCACTTGACCAGATTTTCCTTCATCTGGATCGTCAGCAATCAATTGTATGAGATGTAAACCTTTAGGGGAATTTTCTGGTACACTGACAATTAAACTTTTATTACGAAATATTGGATGATTATCATTTTCATCTGTGACAATGATCTGAAATGATGGAGGTGTTAACCCCGTAAAAAAAGACAAAAGAAAATTATATAACAGTAAGAAAAAAATTGTACATTGAATTCGACTAGACTATCTTACCAATTTATTCTGTTGGGCAGATTGTTAGAAAGATTGTTAGAAATAGTATGAACTGGGTTTCGTCATTAAAGCGATTTATGTTTTTCAGACTTGCATGTAAAAACATGCAATCTGGAAAACTGCCGTTGTAAAATTGATCGATATTGAGTTTTCAAGGCGGAAAGTGGTTACCGATTACAATCGATTCAATGGGGTGTGTAGAGAGGATAATTTAAAAATGAATTTAGAACTATGTAACACGAAGTTGATGAATTCAGTAGTTTTTCTGTGAGTTGCACAAAATACGAATATAAAAACTGGAATAGAAAGTATTTTTTGACTGAATAATATTGTTATATTGTTGACTAAATTAAACAAACTAGGTTGGCGTTCAATTTAAACAAGTGAACACTTCATTGAACATGTTATCATAAGAAAGCATGCTACATTTTTGTTGATTGTAAGAAATATTCTGTCAATATACGATGAAATTCATCTGTTGAGTCGTTGATCAGCAAAGCACTCCGTTACCTCTTTGCTGTATGGCATTTACTTTGCTGGGTACCTTCCTCCAATCTAAAACAGCTATATCCTATTAATCACAACTCCTTACTAGATTGTTGTAACGCTGCTACGGATAGCTATTTAGTCCTAGCGGCGTCCAATTCAAATATCCCAATACAACCCAAAATGCTATTTCCAAGTCTCCTAGATATCAGAACGCAACACTGTGGGATGGAGTTGTTTATTGGGTCGAATACATAGGAGAGGTATGCAGGAGAAAGGGAATCGGAATCCAGATCATGAAGGCTTACAGATAGTGCGTATTTATACATGAAGGTCGAATAGGAAAGAGCATCAAAGTCTGTAACATCGGCAGTTCAGAACGACCAATAGGAAAGAACACTTGAAATGACATTGACAGTCCGGATGGCCAATAAGTGACAACATTGAAGTATTTGACTTTGACAGTTAAAACGACAATAATTTTGACCAATAGCAATCGACCGATAGGATTACACATTTAAAAATAGTACTCTTAGGATAATTTGTGAATATCCTAGAAATTTTTCTCTTGGAAGCTATTTAGTGTTTCTACTCTTTCAATAGTTCTTTAATTTGGACCGGTTAGCAATTTCAAACAATTTCCAACAATCACCAAAATTTCATACTGACAAGAAGAGTAACAATTTAAATTTCACATTTATTAAAATCTAGCCATATTTTTTATATTTTAAAACTTTAAATGAACACTTCAAACAAGCATTGGTACACTACCTAATTTAAATATTTCAGTTCAATTATCAATTTTTTTTCGTAAATGAAAAAGAAACATCAACATGAAATACAGGCAGGTGCATTCAATGATCCTTGAATTCAGTTTAAAATATATGGACGTAGTATATGTGGTTAATTTTTTGAAGATACAAGTGTAAGACTAAATATGAATTGGGAAAAATGGACTTATAAAAAATACCTGGCACTTCGATTAACCTTTAACGTGTGAAATATCAAAAACAACTTGTTCAAGAGCCTTGAAATATCTCTCTTGCAAAAGTCTATAGTGACGTTAGAAATGCCAGCTAAAAATTTCGTCCATTGAGCATTGAATAAGACCGTAACAAAAACATTCAGAAAATTCGAAATCACGTTCCACGATCGTGAAGTGGATATTTACTATGATTCCCAAATCTTCTAGACTCACACGGTCATCAGTAGCTCTAAACAATTACCCTCAGACGTGTTAATTTCGCAGACATATCCTCGAGACTATCGAATTCATATGCGAGCAAATTAAGGAAAAACAAATCAACATCGGCTTGCCCGAAGACTACCTTAAAGAATTACTCCTAAGATGTACGATGAATGTCCATTTCGTATTTAACAATAATTATTATAGACAAATAGATGGTATAGCCAATGGTTCACCTCTAGGTCCAATTTTAGCTGATCTCTTTCTAGCAAAGCTAGAAAATGGACCACTCAATGAAGCTATTCAGAAACTTGATCTATATTGCCGTTATGTCGATGACAAATTCATCATTGTAGATCAGGACACCAGAAAAGAAAAACTCTTAGAACGATTCAACAGTGTACACCTGGCAATCACGTTCACTGGTGAAGAAGAATATGATAAAAAACTGTCTTTCCTTGACATCACACTAAGTAAGCGAAATGATGGTTCACTAAGTAGAAGCGTGTATAGAAAAAATTCCAGTGCTTGCCAATACAATCACTTTTGTAGTTTTACACCTATCCGCTACAAAAGAAATTTTTTTAGATGCCTCACCAACAGAGCAAATATGATTTGTTCAGTGGATACCTTAAGTCAGGAGCTGGAATTCATCAACGACTCACTAACCGAGATTGGTTATCCCAGCGCATTCATAAAGAAGTATATGTTTGTCGTAAAAAAGAAGTCAGTGTTTTTGACCGCCCAAAAGAAGCCTTTATTTATGAAGTTTCAATTCAACGGAGATGTGGCCTGCGATACTCTGCAGGACAGATTAATAATAGAACATTCAACGCTGCCAAACTTGCATTGACATTCTCCTGTCGACCAGCGATGTCTACCCGAACGAAGGATAAGTTACCTGAGTTAGCCTCCTTTATGTGCATTTACAAATTCAGCTGCTCCTGTGGAGATAGCTATGTCGAGCGTACTCCCAGGCAACTTACACAACGAATGAGTGAATATCTCCCAGGGTCAGTCAGAAACAATACGCAGTTCTATCTTAGCACACCTTGTAGTTAGTGCTCACATTGTAGATAAATCTAGGTCTTTTCGGGTGATCTGTATCGTATACCTCCATCATTTCCTAACGGAGTTCGATCCCGTCTCCTACACCATGCAGAAGCCATAGGAATACATACATTCAACCCCCAATTTATGTGTTCAGAAGAAATTCGTGACACCCCTACCTCTTCCGTGGCCGGATATGACGTAACTAACGATGGACATTATGTATTTTATTTTATGTTGATTTTTACACATTTGCTTATTACGTAATGTTTTTGATGTTTTTTGATGATTATTTGAAGTTTATTCATCCACCTTTGACCTACTTTAATTATCATATTTTATAAATTTTCCTACTACTATCGGTTCACCTATTTTCCTACTATCCACTTGTACTTTTGCCTTTTTCATTTTATTGTGATTAAGTACTCAAATGGCCTTGATTGGTTTTAACATTTTCATACATAAATATTCATGTATATTAGAGTAAAGCAGCCTGATGACGATCTAATCGAAAACAGTAATATTGTTCGCTTCTATGACAAACCATTTCATGCTACTTATTTTTTTGAACAAATTCAGTTTTTTTCTTTAACCATGTAACTAATGTTAGTTTTCTTTCTCCCTTTTATTTCAAATTATATCTGACTGATCATTTGGAAAGATTTTTATGTTTCAATGAAACACACAATACTTATCTACGCACATTATAAACACTGAATAAATTTCAATAGTTCACAATCATTCTCAATGAATCATTTCACGAAAAAAATAACAATTAAAGAAAAAAACACTTCAAAATCACATGATATTTTAGAGAGTAATGAAAAAACTGATTAACTGAATGAAATGCAAACTCTATGACGATTGATTAATAAAAGGTCGATTCAGTCAATAAAAGTTCAAACAGACATAATGTGTGTGGATGATGTTAGATACTCAGAACTCGCTAGATAAATATCTTAATTTTAGATTTTACACATTTGAAATCATCAATCAATCGTTGTTAGACCACCATTAGAAACCCGGAAGCACTGGACGGCCGTTTCGTCCTGGTACGGGACTCATCAGCAGTGCGCATCCACGACTCCTGCTCCTCGCAGGATTCGAACGCGGGACTTCAGGCACTGTAGGCGAACGCCTTACCATTGGATTTTATTCATTTGCTTATCAGTTGACCTTGAGATAATCTTTCTCACCAGGAAAAACCTTAGCTGTGATTGGTAACTGTGTTGTTTTAAATGCTATTTTGTGACTCTCCCAAGGACGTTACTATGATGTATAAATAAAGGCGATATGTGTGCTTCAGATCATTGTATTGGCTGGATGTTTGTGGAATATACTTTCTACGCTATATCAAGACTTTTTCGTTAGTTCCTTTGGGTCAACGGATCAGAGTAGTCTATCTGAACACTGGTTCATTGTCTCGTTCTCGTTTATCGGCTAAGGTGAACTCGTTTATTTTGGAGAGTAATAAAAAACTGATTGATTGAACAGAAGCAAACTGCATGAAGATTAGTAAAAGGTTACCTTGTTAATAAAAGTTCAAATATATGAAATCATGAATTGATCAGTAATAAACCACCATTAGAAACCTGAAAGCACTGGACAGCTGTTTCACCCTGATAAGGGACTGATCAGCAGCACACATCCAAGACTCCTACAGCTCGCAGGATTCGAATCCAAGACTTTTTGTCTTCTTAGCGAATGACTAACCTCTGTACCACTGAGCCGCTATCTGACGGTGTTAATGTCTATCTTCGATCAATTCACGAAGTTGCGAAACCTCACACGCTGTCTCCGGTAGCTACTGTCTACACCTGAACTTTGATCGATTCATGATTTCAAATGTGTCAGTTAACAATCTTAACAAGCACGTAATGAAAAGTTCAAATAGACATAAGATGATAACTGTAAATGTGAATCAGAGAGAAAATTAATGTAATATCACACGAATAAGAAGGAGTAGGAAATTGTCACATTAACCCCTTAGGCTTAAAGATGACCAGGATAACGTGGAAATTTCCTACCCTTTTTTGTTCTTTTCATATGACAGTAATTTTCTCTCTCCTTCAGTTTCACAATTATCATCTTATGCCTATTTGAACTTTTATTGAATTGTGTTATGATTGTCACTTGATATGCTTAAAACTATGACGAGTTCACCTTAGTCGGTAAACGA